TGGGGTTATCAAGTCGGCGATAGGAGAGATAGTCGATACTCCGAATCTCGCACGTGCGTTCTCCTACATCCCCCTGACGTGGGCTGTTGGCACGACATTTGCGTAAGTCGTTGGGTCCATGTAGCATCCCCAGCTCACTGAAAAATTTAGGCCTCTGATGGGAGGTTATCTATCTCGTCCAGCAGAACAGTTCCCAAACCTGTTCACCTCCTCTTTCTGGATCAAGTATCCATATTTCTTGCCCTGCGCCGTTGCAGCTTGCTTTTCCCTCTTTTGCGCAATCATGACCCTCATATTCCTCCAAGAGGTAACGGATTACCATCTACCACGTTTTTAAACTAACTTTTGTCGTCAGACCCACCCGACTCTGGGTAAGCCCAATAGAGATCTTTACGAGAAGGTCGAGACAGGAAGCAGGACATCGCTCGACAAGGAACAAGAAGAGTCGCTCCTCCCAGCTGAATCAACCGAAAAGCCAACCAAACTAAATGCCCCGATTCCTCTTCGCACTCTTCTAACCAGAAAGATCATCCTTTCTGTGATCAACTATCACATCCTCGCAATTCTCGAGATATCCCTGATATCGGTCATGCCCGTGTTCTTCGCCAGCTGCCTGCATATGGAGCCGTCGTCGATCGGACTTATCATGGGCGTCATGGGATTCGTCAATGGAATAATCCAAATAACTTGCTTTGTACCGTTACACCGTCGACTCGGGACACGCAACATCTTCACCTTGGGTCTCGCCTCCTTCCTTTTGATCTGGTGCTGCTTCCCTCTGATCAACCAAGTTTATGCCCAGGATGAAGGCGTATTCGGTTTCAAAATTTCTGCAATTATAACGATCCTCATTCTTCTTTCTACGATTGAGCAAATGTCGTTCAGTGAGTCTATTGTCAGAATCCTAGGAAAATAATTCTCACTTTCTTGCAGATGTCATCTTTCTCTATGTAAAGGCTGCTGCACCATCACCATCAGCACTTGGTGCTACCAACGGTATAGCGCAGACCGTTGCTTCTATTGCTCGAGCAATAGGTCCGGCTGGCTCTACCTCCCTCTTTGCCGCCTCGATGCAACACCCGAACATTCTCGGTGGGAACATGGTCTATTGGGTTCTGGCTGGAATCACAGTGGCTGGCATCGGCATGTCGCTCAAGTTACCATCTGAGCCTTGGGAGGAACCAGAGGAGAACGAGTTACAGCTTCGTAACGAGGAGCGTGGCGTCGACGAATAGATGGGTTCCAAAAATACATAGAACTATGGACATGGATGTATTATAAGCATAAGCACTGAATACTAGAGGACCTTGATAAGATATGGTACAAAATTACAGGCAGCAGGGTCCAGAAATAATATAACGAGGTCATGTCTCCACGTTCCGGGCCTGAGACCGAGTATTCATCCGGAGTAAAGTAGTCTTGGCTTTGTCGTGTGTCCTTGGCGTTGCTTTCAATTTGGAATCGGTTTTAGCTTTCCTTCCTGAGATAAAAAAAATTGGTTAAATTTCAACGATTCAATATGAGTACATACCTGAGCGAGAGGGTGAGCTAACAACGAACTCTACTGCGGGAATGTTGGGGTCGTCCATCACTTCAAGTTCAAAAGGCTTTTCCAGCTCCTTGGTTCCCTCTGATGTCCTTCTCCTTCCTGGAATGGCGTCACTCTCATCGAGGATCCGGGTTACCTCTGCCTCTTCTTGTGCGGAAAGTTGAGCAGAAAGAAAACTT